TCATGTCGTATGTATCATAATAATTATATACATGATTAGGCGAACGTAGATTATTGAAATAATATGATAACAAATTCGTAATTCGTTAGCACCCGACCTTATTTTTTTAAATTAACAAATTTAATTAACAATAATACAAATGGATCTTCCTCCTGGTCCATCTAGAGAGCGATCTCGAAGTCCTATATATAAYAAAACAAAAAAAACTAAAATATTAACCGACAAAGAACTCTTATTACTTTTGGAAAATGATAAATGGTTATCATCGGAGGATGATTTTGATGGCAGTTCTGATGATAATTTTGAGGGCAGTTTGGTTGATGATTTCGATAACATGGCAGAAGTTGAAGAAGGTAATTCAAATAATGATTCTCATTATATGTATTTAGATAGTAGTACGATGAATGAGATGTCTGATAACTCTAATAATAGTCTTAAAAAAGAGCCTAACAATTATGAAATTTCCTGGTTATCTGATCCTGCAAATGCAAACTATATTCCATTTACAGCTACACCAGGTTTGAAATGTSTACCCGAAGGAAACGCTCCTATTGATTATTTTAGATTATTAGTTACTGATAGTTTTTTTGATCTTCTTGTTGAGGAAATAAATGCATATGCAYTTGATATTTTTTTAAATCAAACACACGAAAGTGCAAGAATAAATAATTGGGTAGATACCAACAGAAAAGAAATGGAAATTTTTATTGGCTTATTGTTTCATATGGGAACAATTAGATTAAGTAGATTGGAAGATTATTGGAAAACCAGTCGACTTTTCAACATTCCGTGTTTTCGTGAATATATGAGTCGTAACAGATTCATGTTAATATTATGTGCATTGCATTTCACTCGTAATCCGAAAGAAGGAGAACCTACTCCTCATAATAGGTTGTATAAAATCCAGTGTTTTGAATTATTTTAATTMAAAAATGGAAGAAGTTTATGAACCATCTAAAAATTTATCTATAGATGAATCTATGATTTTATGGCGTGGGCGTTTGGTATTTCGCCAATACATTAAAAACAAACGACACAAATATGGCGTAAAATCATATATGTTGACTGAACCCTGGGGTTTTATACATAGGGTTATGGTTTATTCTGGACAAGGTCATGATATATCTAATACTATGAGTCATACAGAGTATGAGGTTTTTATACTTATGAATGGATTATTTTATGAAGGCCGATCACTATTTATGGACAACTATTATAATAGTGTCCATCTATCAGAACTGTTGTTAGAAAAAAAAACATTTGTCACAGGAACTCTACGATCAAACCGCAAAAACAACCCTAAAGATGTTATTGATAAAAAATTGAAAAAAGGAGAGTCTATATATCGGTATACAAAAGAGGGTATTTATGTCTTAAAATGGAAAGACAAGAGAGATGTTCTGATGATAAGTTCTGAATTTTCTCACTCAATGTGTGAAGTTAGTTCTAGGACAGAAGTAAAACAGAAACCTATAATCGTAAAAAAATATAACGAAAATATGTCAGGAATAGATCGCCAGGATCAAATGGCATCATACTACCCCTGTGAAAGGAAATCCTTGAGGTGGTATAAGAAAATTGGTGTGCATTTTATGCACTTATTGTTAATAAATTCATATTTTCTATATAATAGAAACGTAAAAAAAATATCACTGTACGACTACAGGATCTCAGTTATTGAAAGTTTATTACCTAAAAAAGACAATAAAACACAGAAAAATTCTGAGGTGAAAAAAACTGAAGCACATTTACCCAAAAAAGTTGAAAAAAACAGATATTATAAAAAACGCTGTAAGGTTTGTGCTGATAAAAAA